ACTGCTGCACGGCTGTTGTTCCTGATGAACTTTATTGTTGTGTGGACGACCTGTTGCACGGCTGTTGTTCCTGAGTGAACTATATTGTTGTGCGGACGAACTGCTGCACGGCTGTTGTTCCTGATGAACTTTATTGTTGTGTGGACGACCTGTTGCACGGCTGTTGTTCCTGAGTGAACTCTTTTGTTGTGCGGACGATCTTCTGCACGACTGTTGTTCCTGAGTGAACTTTATTGTTGTGCGGACGACCTGCTGCACGGCTGTTGTTCCTGATGAACTTTATTGTTGTGTGGACGACCTGTTGCACGGCTGTTGTTCCTGAGTGAACTCTTTTGTTGTGCGGACGATCTTCTGCACGACTGTTGTTCCTGAGTGAACTTTATTGTTGTGCGGACGACCTGCTGCACGGCTGTTGTTCCTGAGTGAACTTTATTGTGTAGTAGATCCGCCACACGCCATTGCGCGTGAATTAATTCCAATTGGAGGAATACCCCATAATCTACTAGTTTCCACGAGGGCATTTATTGTACAAAAGTCGATGAGACACTACAGTACTTAAGTGAGGTGAATTGTATTATTTTGAGCTGGTGAGATAAGACCTAGATGACTCACTGTAAACTTTGGTGGATGAGTTAAACAAGGCAGAGCAGATGCTCCATTCTATAGTGAGTTAAGTGTGTGGTTTAGAGGAATTGTAGTATGCTGCAAATGGTGAACTTGGTGATGTAGAACATAGACCACTTGTTCTGATGAACATTGTAGTGAGTTTATTAAAGGACGTAGAATGGGATGTTCCAACCTTTCACCTATAAAAGGCCAGATTGTAGAGGATGGAAACATTGTAGGGCCATAAATTGCTATTTTGGAAACATTGGAAGGCCATAACTTGTTATTTTGGAAACATTGGAAGGCCATAACTTGTTACTTTGGAAACATTGGAGGACTATAATTTGTTAGTTTGGAAACATTGAAGGGCCATAATTTGTTAGTTTGGAAATATTGGAAGGCCATAACTTGTTATTTTGGAAACTTTGTAGAGCCATGATATGTTATTTTGGAAACATTAGAAGGCCATAACTCGATAGTTTTGTGACTTGCTGAAATTGAAGTTTCCTAATAAAGTTTATCTGTGAATAGGCTTAACACATAAACCTTAACTTTAATGTGTTATTAATAACGAGTGTTTGTTTATTTTAGAGCAAAGCCACATTAGCCTATCTCCTGTGCTCAACGCGTGGAATCTAACCTCGTATTTTTACGCTGTCCAGTCGTGTGACAGTAACATGTGAGTGGGAAGGATAAACTAACCTGAGGGGCCAGATGCACCCTGGCCTCTAGTTGGACTATTTTGATGTAGAAGAAACACTTAACACTTTAGTGTGTGTACTTAGTGATGTATAATGAATACTGAATACATTAGTGGGTGTACTTAGTGATGTATAATGAACACTGAATATTTTAGTGAGTGTACTTAGTGATGTATAATAAATACTGAATACTTTAGTATGTGTACTTAGTGATGTATAATAAATACTGAATACTTTAGTATGTGTACTTAGTGATGTATAATAAATACTGAATACTTTAGTATGTGTACTTAGTGATGTATAATAAATACTGAATACTTTAGTATGTGTACTTAGTGATGTATAATAAATACTGAATACTTTAGTATGTGTACTTAGTGATGTATAATAAATACTGAATACTTTAGTATGTGTACTTAGTGATATAAAAGTTACACTACCTACTGTAATTCCAGATACCTTCATGGATTAATTTTGCTGAGGGTATGAAGCGCGAGCTTTCGGTTTATAGCAGATAATACAATATCAGAGGCTGTACAGAGAAAAGTAGACAATGCAGATGTGTAATCAATAGTGTAGATGATGAATTGTATGGTGTTTATAACATACATCACCTAGCCTACAAACAGTGCTTTTTAACGTTTTCTGTATCTAGTACACAGGATTTATTAACAGTGTAAAGGCATTAATGCAAATTATAAATGATACATACTGTGGTTTAGAGTTATATATTAATAATGTGTTCTATTCGTTTTGTTCATAAATGAGCTACCATAGTAGTTAAAGCCAAAGCACTTTAACGTGTAGAAAACAACAAAGCAGTCATAGTGTTAGCACTAATTAACCAGCTATTATACAGTTCTGTGTTGAGTAACAATGAAGTAGTTGCTTATAACATACACAGTAACAGAATGTTATAAATATTAAGGTAATATCGATATTTACTTAACATGCACACACATAGTAACAGAATGTTATAATTATTAAGGTACAATCTATATTTACTTAACACACACACAGTAACAGAATGTTATAAGTATTACGGTGCTATCTATATTTACTTAACACACACAGTAACAGAATGTTATAAGTATTAAGGTACTACCTTTATTTACTATACATACACATACACAGTAATAGAAATAAGTAAGAAAACTCGTAATCAGTATGCATACAAGAATCACAAACAACGACTAGTGGCAAATAGATGGAGAATTTATTAATCTACGAAACATTATCGCAGAAAATACAAAACAAAAAGGAATAATTGTACACTACAGTTGTATTTTTTATATGAGCCCTTTGCTTTACACAAAGCATTACACCTTGTTTCCAAATTGTCATATAGTTTATCAAAGAACAATTCTGGAAAATTGTTTCAAGTATTTTCTATTACTTCCCACAATCCAGCCAAGTTCATTGGTACTTTTTGACATTCTCAATTTTTCGTAAGATCTACACTATTAAAAATGTTCATATGGGAACTTTGTACAGGACAAGTCAGCCATGTCTGAATGCTTTGCCAACCTCACTACTGGCAAGTTTTTTGTTTTTTTTAATTTCGCGCAAAGCTACACGAGGGCTATCAGCACTAGCCGTCCCTAATTTAGCAGTAT